CACACGGAGAGAGAGAGAGAGAGAGAGAGAGAGAGAGAGAGAGGGAGGGGTATGCGGCACACACGACACCCATTCATATGTGGGCTCCATGCATCCCTTGTCTGTCTGTTGGTCTCTTTGTTTGTCTGTCTGTGTGTGTCAGACATGGGGTACAAGGACTTGGCCGAGGGTCTGACTGAGCTGCTCAAGTTCGTGCAGGTCAACGCGGCAGCCACGCGCAAGATCCTGATCAAGTGCCAGAAGAAGACGGCCTTCGTGGGCTTGCCCCAGGAGGACCTCCTGCACCAGTACCTCAAGAGCAGACTCAGACCTGACGCCGAGTCACGACTCGACCAGCTGCGGGCTCGCACTGGTGGGAAGGTGGGTGGGGGAGGACACTCACAGACGAACGACACGAGTACGGCCAGTCAATTGGTGTGTGTGTTGTGGTGGCCCGTGCAGGGCTGGACATAGTTGTGACGGAGATCGAGACGAAGCTGTCGGAGCTGCGTGTCATTGCCAACAGGTGGATATCCGAAGGACGAATGGACCCACACACGGAGAAACAGTAAGGAAACGCCACCACACACACACACACACACACAGAGGGGCGAGGGGGAGGATAGCGATGCTTTTTGTGTGTGGCCATCTGCTCGTCTCGTCTATCAGGCTGGCCATCGACCAGAGGCGTCGCCGCACCACCACGCTCATGTACTCTTTCAGGGGCGAAATGGCCAAGACCCAAGCCACCACTGGGTGAGTCAGTCACCCACAAGAGAGAGAGCCCGCCACCCAACCACCGAGCGAAACCATGTCATGTGGATCTATGTGTGTGTATCAGGTTCCTGCAAGCGATGGCCCGCCAGGCCGAGATAGAGTTCGAGGGAGAGCCCGTCGGGCAGGGCTCCTTCTGGGGGTACGTCAGGCAGCGCGACGGAAGGCACACACACAAGGGCACAATCTCTTCTCTCGGTGTGTGTGGTTGTGTTTGCCAGTTTGTTTCTGAACAACTACAACACGTTTCTGTACATGGCCAACTACTACATCGTCATCCCCACGGCCAACCAGTACTCGTCAATACTCGGAATGTCCTCCACCATGAGCGGCATGATCCTGGTGGGTGTGGTGTGTATCTGACAACTAAACTGACTTGCTGACACACACGGACACAAAGGGGAGAGAGAGAGGCTGGAGGGGAGTGTCCCCCCACTGTGTGTGTGTCTGTCTGTCTGTCTGTCCGCCAGTCGATGGCGCCTCTCTCTGCGTGTGTGTCGGCCGTCCTCTACTCCGTGTGGAGCAACTAGTAAGCTTCAAGCGCACACGCCACTCCACACACATCACACGCACCACGCGCTCTCATCTGTCTGTGCGTGTGTGTGTGTGTGTGTGTTATGTGGTTATCGACCCTTGTTGGTTGTGTGCCTGCAGCAACTTCAGGGCGCCTCTGCTGTTCAGCACGCTGCTGCTGGTCATCGGCAACATCCTCTACTCCCTCGCCCTCCCATACAACAGCGCATCGCTTCTCTTCATTGGTACCTACTGACGTCACACACACACACACACAGACAAGGAGAGGGCCCCATGTGGTGGATGTGTGTGGTTGTGTGGTTGGCCGGCAGGTCGTCTGCTGGTTGGGTTTGGCGGCAACCGTGCGGTGAACCGCCGGTATATCGCCGACTTCGTCCCCATGGACCAGCGCACAAAACAGTCCGCCGTATTCGGTCAGTACTGACATGACAGTACGCACCACCTACACGATGACACACATCACATGCATCCGAGGAGGTGTGTCTGTGTCTGTGTCTGTGTGTGTGTGTGTGTGTCTGTATGTGTGTGTGTGTTGGTGTGTGCAGTAGCTGTAGGTTCTATCGGCATGACGCTGGGCCCCGGCTGTCAGTACTTCCTCAACATGATCGACTTCAACGTACGCAGCCAAACACAGGAAGGAACACACACAAATCAAATCCTCCGGCCGGAAGGCTCCTCCCTCCCTCCCTCCCTCCGTGTGTGTGTGTGTGTGTGTATGTGTATGTCTGACAGCTGCCCATTGTGGGGTGGCCGTGCAACCACATCACGGCGTCGGGCTACATCATGGCCATTCTCTGGGTCATATTCGCCCTGCAGGTACCTGGCTGACAGAGAGAGAGAGAGAGATCGGCAAACACGTGCACACAAACTCCCTTACACACACACACACACACGCCAATCGCACTCATTTCTTCCTTCAGATTATCGTCCAATTCGACGAGCCGGAGCGCCGCTACGCCAAGAAGTCACACATCGCCACATAGCCAGCCATCAGTGTGTGGGCGTATGCGGTTGTGTGGTTCTGTGTCGTCGTGGTTCAGACGGGGCCGCAGTGTGTTGGAGCCGCTGCTGGAGCCCATCGCAGAGGAAGAGGGGCAGGTCATCGGCAAACCGCCCAAGAAGGTGCGTTTGTGTCTGCTCACGCACACACATACCACCGACAAGGGTCTCTCCCTCTGTGTCGACTGGTCTCTCTCTCTCTCTCTGTGTGTGTGAGTGCAGCACGACCTGAGCGGCCCCATGATCTGCCTGTGGGTCTACTTCGTCCTCAAGGGAGTACTGGTGAGTGTGTGAGGACACAGACCCGCCCAGCCAGCCAGCGGCACCTGTGTGTGTGTGTTTGCTCCTCTGCAGGAGGCCTTTCAAGGCGCTGCGCCTCTGGTGACAGGCTACCACTTCGGCTGGTCGGACGCAGGTACGCTTAATTTGTGGCTGCCGACACAGCCAAATCACATCGCCCCAGCAATTGTCCTTTGTCCCGTTCTCTGTCTGTGTGTGTGTGTGTGCTTTCAGCTGTGGGCAACATGCTGGCCGTGATTGGCATCATTGTGATCCCGTCAAACCTGCTAGTCGGTACGAACGAAGAACGAACTCTCATCAATCGGCACAGACACACGCACGGGCTCACAGGGCAGGCACAGAGGCTGGGCTGTCTGCCTGTTCTGTGTCCAAGGATGTGTGTGTGTGTGTGTGTGTGCGTCAGGTATATCTTCGAACTTCATGGAGGACCGCGTAGCCCAGCAGATCACCATGGTCACACTCGCCATCGGTAGACACACTCACACATAAATACAGCCACGTACCCAACACACACACGAGCTGCAGAGCAAGATCTCTCTCTCTCTCTCTGTGTGTGTGTCTGTCTGTCTGTCTGTCCACTCCTCTCTGTGTGTCATCCATTTCATCTGTCAGCCTGCGCGGCTGCGAGTGTGTGGGTGCCGGCCTACTTCAACATCTATATCTACCTCCTCGGCGGCCTCTTCATCTTCGTCTCAGCACAGGTAGGTAGGTACCACACACACACACACACCACACAGAACACAGAGGGATCAGCAATGCAATCGATGGATGTCACACACATAACATACACACACGACTTACATGTAGATGTTGGAGGGCGTCAACATGGGTCTGCTGTCGAAAGTGATGCCCAAGGAGCTCAGCAAGGGCCTCATGAACTCGGGCTTCCTCTCCACCGAGGCAGGCACCTTCGGACGAGTGGTGGGCAACTGCTGGATCTCCGTCGCTGGGCTGCTCGGTGAGGGAGCCAGCCAGCCAGCAACACATCCACT